CAATTTGAAGAACCTTTTGAGGTGGTGCTATAGAGAACCCTTTTTTAAAAGGTTCTATATAGAACCACCTACAGCATGTTCTCCATCAATCTAAAGAATGTTTTGAGGTGGTGCTATAGAGAACCCTTTTCTAAAAGGTTCTATATAGAAACATCTACAGCACATCCTCCACCAGTCTGAAGAACCTTTTGAGGTGGCGCGATAGAGAACCCTTTTCTAAAAGGTTCTATATAGAACCACCTACAGCACGTTTTCCATCAATCTGAAGACCGTTTTCAGGTGGTGCAATAGAGAACCCTTTTTAAAAGGTTCTATGTAGAGCCCCCGATTTCAGACACCAAACTATTCCGTTAACGTCTTAAACCCTCTTCATTGCAGATGTTCGTGTGTAGCTGACTGCAGATGCGGAAGCTGTGATTAATTGATTAGGGTGCGATTGCTCTGGCCTGATGGGGAGTGCTTGTTCAGAATGAGGCTAATGAAGCAGCTGGTGGACGCGGCCTGAGCTGCAGTGGACGGGCGAAACGCCACTCTGGGGTGCTTTTGGCCTCGGAACAGATCCATTTCATGTTGCTCGGAATCAGCTTAGCTGTGACCCAAAATGAGGACGACGAGCCGAACAGCCGCTCCAAAGAGGTCGTTATATTATTCATGAGCGAGTTTCACAGACCGCCGGCTCGCCGTGAAAGAGCCTTTATACCTTTACCCTCTTTTATGTGTCAGCCGTAAGTGCGACGGGGTAAATGCCCAAACAGAAGAGAGCACTGTGTTTAGTTTTTATGGTGGTTTGGAGCCAGTAGAGTATATTTATACCACAGAGGGAGGGAGGGAGGGAGAGAGAGAGATAGAGGGAGAGGGAGAGAGAGAGAGAGAGAGAGAGAGAGAGAGAGAGAGAGAGAGGAATCACTAGAGTGAAATCAATACAACTGCACTCTTAATGAGGGCTCTGGAAAGAACAGCGAGAGAGAGAGAGAAAGTAGAGGGGAGAGAGAGATAGAAAGAGCAAGGGAGAATTAGGGTAGAAAGGGAGAAAGAGAAAATGGGGGCAAAAAGAGGAGGAAAAGAAAGTAGGGAAGAGGAAAATGAGACAATAGAGAATGAGGAGAGAGAGAGAGAGAGAGAGAATGGGGGACAGAGAGAGAGAGAGAATGAGGGAGAGAGAAAGAAAGAGAATGGGGGTCTAGCCCCTGTGGGAATGAGGTCAGTGCTTAGAGAAAGTGGGTTTCTCCTCATCAGAGCAGTATCCCGCTGTGATTGAGAGAGAAGGAGAGAGAGAGAGAGCGTGAGAGAGAGACAGAAAGAGAGAGAGCATGAGAGAGAGAGAGAGAGGCATGAGAGAAAGGTGTGTGAGAGAGAGAGAGAGAGAGAGAGGGAGAGAGAGAGGGCCGTGCTCTGGTTCTCTCACTACAGTAGAGGATTAGTGAACAGCGCTGCACTCTGAATGTGCTCTGAATGGCGGGTTTATGATGCTGTTTATGAGGCGTTTATCCTGCGTTTTCACAGGATTTGGATTTGTGTGGGAGCTTCACTCACTGTGATTATATAACAGACTCAGCATTGCGTTTGGACAGTGCCCCCCATTTTAGGATCAACTGTATGTTTTGTTTTGTTTTTTGGGATTTATTAAAATTTGTAGAAAATGTAGTTCACTGTTGCAGCAGGGTATGTTTACTTAAATGATCCAGAGGGCGGGGCTTAAAGGAACCTATACAGAGATCTGATATATTGCAATATATGTGTTTCAAATATATGAGCACACATATATATACACATAAATATATATATATATATATATATATATATATACAGCTCAAAATGACTTGGAGAAACGTCTGGTTCCATTGACTTACATTAAAAGTACAGTATGTTTTTTTGGAGATACAAGGTTTTGTTCTGACAACAGCGATATAGCGATATTTCAGTTTTATCCAGCGTAATCACATACGACATATATGCTGACATATTTGAAATATGGGACATATTTGGGTCTGGTATTGCCAAAGCATTGTAACAGTGATAACAATGACAATATCAGCATGAACATATAATAACAATATATCAAACAATAACAATAACAACAACAACATTGTTGACTATATTAAATAGAAAAAATAGTATGATTTATTGTATAATTATGAATTATACAAATTTGGAAACCAATTTTTTGTTAACATAAGTGTTGGTTGTATGTGGGGTGGGGGTCAGAAGAGTGGGGATATGTGGAGTGGGGGGTTGCTATATTATGAATATACGTCCAATATTTGATACATGTATACACAACTCATATGTGGATATGTGGCCATATATCAGATTTCCGTGTGGGAATAGTTGCTCCAGATGTAGTTGATCAGAAAAGACATGTTTGTTGTTTAAAGTTTCCTTCTCGAGTTTTGCACTGGAGCTATGAGGCTAATGTAGCTAACAGGTGATTGAAACTTATACTCCGCCAATTAGCACTGTGCTAACTACATGCATAAATCGTCACATACTCGTCTAAATCATGATGAGTGGCGATGTTACATGTTAGCTGCCTTATTCTTGTAGTTCCAGTGCAAAAGTGAGCAGCAAACTTCAGACACATTTCAGGGAAAAATGAGGACAGTTATTCTATAAATTGCTTATGCCAAACTATTTCTTTAAATAAAAGGAGTTCTAATCGTTGCAGGAGGAGAACCACACCTGAAGATCCTCCCCCTTCCAGTCTAACTCCCTATAAATTTGCATCTCTAAGTCTGAACACCCCCCATTTACATGACGTGTTAATTTTCGACAGTAAAAATAAGTCACACATCCTCTACAGAGACACACGTCTGTACATTTTAATACACAGTTACTGTTTACTTTGCTGAATTTATCAAATTGGGAAAAAATAAAACATAAAATGTGACCTGTGCAAAAGTTATAGCACCTTTTATATTTTATGGTTTATGTTCAGTATATTAAACTAAAGTATCAGTAAAAGGTTATTTTCACTCTGTTGAAAATCAGCAGACCATGTCATTCAATGGGAGGTGTTCATACAACTGTGTGTGAGTTTGAAGAGCCTTCTCCATATTATTAAGGAAGAACCCTTAAATTGGTAGAACATTTACATGAATATTACATGACATTTTAAAAGGTTCTTCACACTCACACCTTTCTGTTCTTACATGTTTCTTTAGGGAACCGAAAGTGGTGGTTCTTCTATGGCGTCACTCAAAGAGCCCTTCATGGCACCTTGTTTTAAAAGGGTGTATCTCTCAGTTCTGCCTCAGTTTAGTAAGGGCGTGGGGGTGGGCGGGGGTGGTCTGGCCTTCAGAAGAAACTCTGAACTCCAGCCCAAGTCCTCAGAACTCTCCCCACCTATATATCATATATATATATATTATATACTTATTATGCACTATAATGTGTTGAAGACGTGGAACTCGCTAACAGAGTCTGCCCTGGTGAAGCTGATCATCATCATCGTCTCCTTGAGGACCACACAAACAGAACCATTACAAAACAGAACACTGGGAACAAAGAAGTATACGATACTGTAGGTTATAAATGCCAAGTTCTAGATGGCAGAGATCAGAACAAGTAACTGCTTGAAACAACAAACAGAACAGCAGCGCTTTGAGAGCGAAGACGGTTGGTGGACTTTTGTTGGCCTCCAGCCGTGGAGCCTAGCTGGACGCGGACGTGTGGGCGACTTTTGAACTTTAAGTGTTTTAGCTCAGCGACTGTTGTAGCGTGGTTCTGTAAATAGACAGTGACTGTGTCATCTGTACAAGTAACACACACGGCTTTATCATGTTTACTATCTGCCTTTTGTTCAGCTTTTTAAACTCTACCCTGCAGCTGCCTGCGTAGGTAGACGCTGCCTTGGGAAATTATACAGTTTTGTTTTCCTCATCATGTGGGCAGCCACTACGTGTCTTGATTTCAGAAGTGAATATGCTTACATAATGGTGGCAGCTGCCCAGGTGTAGATCAAACCCACCCACAGACATGGGGCCCAGTGATCACATGTATTCAACATATGAATTTAGGCCTTATGTTTTCATGTAAAATCCATAACTGCAGAATGAGGCTTAGTTTAGGGGAGTTTTTTGGACCATGTCGTACGTCTTTATATATAAACGTCAGGTTCAAAAAGAAGGTCTGGCTCAACGTTCAGATCACCCACTACACTATTCCACTATGGCATAGTGTGCAATTACACATGTCCACCAGAGAGGTCTCCAAATCCCCAAATCTTACACAGTGCAGCTTTAAAATGAAAATGTACAGCTTTAAATTGATAAACTTAAGATAAATATTTGAGTTGTTTTTGCAAGCGCCGGTAGGTCTTCTACCGAGAAATTGAACTAAACGTATGAAACGGTGTGTTGAATGTTTCTCCGTGTCTTCAGAGCATCTCAGACTTACCATCTGTTGTGGAAGCCCCTGTCACTGATCAGAACTGGCCTTCAGGGCTCATCCTATCTGTGCACCCACTCTCAATTAACTGGGCTTCTTTTCTGAAGTCACTTACAAGTTCTGATGGTTGTGATTTAGGACTTAGGCTTGACCCAGAACTTTAAAAAGTTGCCAGAGTGGGGAAAAGCCCCTAAAAATCCACTTAAATCTAAGTAAACATGTTTTTCATATGTATTTTTTAAATTTTTGGTGATATAACGAAATGAACGATTGTGCACATTTTATATGATCTATTAAAAAATAAATAATGAATGTTTGATCCTCGACAAATACATTATACATTTATCTGTAATGCAAATCCAGGTGGATTTAGTCTCAATTTCTACATTAACAGATATTAAAAATATCAGATATTGACATATAGATGAGTAATTCTGGTCACTGAATTTTTAGATACCCTCTTATTCCAACAACATACTGACTGAGAAGTAGCATTGAGACCTCTTAACAGAGGCAACTGCTGTTACAGTGTCAAACCAACCTCTGCCAACATGTTCTGGGTGATGGTTTTGGAGAAAGTCCTGATGATCTTCTCTCTCACTTGTCAATTTTAGACCTCCCGGTGGAGCCACCCAATCCTGTAACCAATGGCAACAGTCCAGGCCCTGCCCCTGACCCGAGACCCCAACAAGAGCATCGGCTCCCTTTTCCCGGCATCCTCTCTGAAGTCTGCTGACTGCGTCATGGGAAGTGTGGGCAGTTTGATCGAGAATCCGGACGTCTCGCCCACCAAAAGCAGCAGGGCGGTTCCTCAGGTGCCGGAGCGACAGAGCAACGGGCTGCTGAAGAAGGGCTTCAACCAGAGAGAGCTGCTCAATTACCTCAACATCACCAAGAAAGAGTCGAAAGGGGGCAAGCACATCATCTCCGGGACCTCGTCCATCAAGAGGGAGCATTCCAGCGAGGAGGAGAACATCTACGCCAAGGTCTACCACAAAGACGGCAGAGAGGTGGACATGGGCAAAAACTCGCTCCCCATTGGTGGAAAGTTTGACAAGGTATGAAAGAATGGGTGGATGAATCAGTGCAGAAGCATTCGGTTATGTAGTGTCCAGTCCGGCTCCTCGAGATCTGCTCACGCTGCAGAGCTGAAGAAGTAATGCATTCAGTTTACTTCATTTATCATTTCCTTGTAGTGATATGACAAAACTTCCTGTTTTTGTTTGTTTTTTGTTTCATGCTTTTAAATAAACGTACTAAACATATAAAAACTGAAAGGTAGTAAAGATAATACACATTTATTATTGATAAAATCAGCTTTCAGTAGGAGAAAACCAAGCTAACAATTAAAACAGTTTACATTAAATAAACTTGCTAAAAATAGAACAGTAAACTGTCAGAAATAAAGCATCTGTGCAGGTACATTTGTCGTTCATCAAGGTACAAACAGTGTAAATGTACCTCAAAGGTACAACAGTGGTTTTAAAGCCCAGTGTTGAACTTTAAATAAGTTTTTCCAGGTGAAAAGTTTGTATTTGTAACTATTCTAACCGAAAGTTTTAAAACAGAACAGTAAAATAAAGTCCTGGAGACGAGACGGGGTGTGTGGAGTCAATACAGCTTAGAAAATATCATTTCAGTGGATTATGGTTCAGTTATGTTCCCTGACTAAAGGTACTGAGATGTACCCTTGAGGGTCCCACCCCAGTGCCAAGAGGAGCACTGCCCCAGTGACAGTGCAGTACCTTTATTTCTGAGGGTGTACTTCAGCTAAAACGTTCAGCAGGACTTCTTCTGTTGTTCCGTTACTTTCTGTGTATCGAGTCGTGTTTCAGGTGCTATCAGATCTCCAGAGGAGAAGTTCTTGGTATTGTACCTGTTCTTGATACTTAGGATGAACAGTGATTATAAATCTCGGTTAGTTAGCTAACTGCTGGACCGTGCGTCTGAAACTGAGCTCATACAAGCTCCCGTTATGGTCATATTTGTGGTCATGGTGGAGAAATTTCTCTTCTGTCTCATTGTGCGTCATGTTTGTAACAAAGGCTGAAAGATTATTCGTTTTTATATCTAAATCACAATTTTAGGAGAGTGAATTTTCACATTTTGAAAACTACAGCCTACATTACCAAACACAGTGTCTTAAGTTTTAAGAGGGGAAGTTTAACTTTATAACACAGAGCTTGTGAACTGCCTCTAGATAAGACCAATCAGAGCCAACCAAACCTCCATGTGTTGTGGCATCACAACCACAACTTACTATCAATCTGGCGTACTAGATTTAGGGGTGAAGCCACAAACAGAAAAGATTGATATTCTGGTTTTCTTGGTAAAAAACAGGCCTGAACTTAAATTTATAGAAAATACTCACAATTTAAATCACAGTCACAATGTTAGTCAGAAAAATTGCAATTAGATATTTTCCCCAAATCATTCAGTCCTACCTGTAACGTAAAATTGCAGGGAAACGATGTGAGTCTTGATGTTTCAGGGGTAGTTAATGTATCATCTTATTCCAACAGTTAAGGTGGAACATGATCTTAAGTTAATCACTTATAGTTGGATCCTGCAACAGGTGGCTAATGCAAGTAGGAAGCAGCATCTAACAACAGTGTAATAAACCAACATAACAAGCACCGTTAACAAATGTGTAAAGCTTAAATAACCTACTTGCTGGGAGTTTTGAGACTCGGAGCAGCAGGAAAGCAGTCAGTTTATCTGCTGACACACATATTAATAACTGTGATTGGTACTTTGGCAGATCTGACATCACCTGCGCCAAATTTAGTCCCACCCAGCTCAAATCGGCCTGAAGAAAATGGCAGAGAAAGTCAACAACAGCACTCTTGCTCAAAAACTAAAGATGGGAGAAAATCATGAAAATGAACAGACAGGAGCTTTAAGGCTGGAACGGTTCTGTGTTCAGGAATTACTTACAATATTTTTTTGCCTTTATCCCTTTTAAAACTTTTAGAGAGTTTAATATCATGTAATAACTGTATATAGTGTTATTTCCTGCACACTGAAGTTGCCTTTCAGGACACGTACATCCGCAGTTTCCTCCGAGGAGCGGTCAGTGAGTAATGCTCCTTTAAGCGAACAGATGACAGACAGAGATTAATGCTTACCCCACAGTAGTTTTCAGAGGCTGTAAATGAAATGCAGTGGCGGTGACAGTGTGTTCAATCTGCCTCCATAAAAGCAGTGTTTTTGTTCTGAGGAGAGCCTCATTTACTGCTGGGTGGGCGGCACCAGCCCGTCTCCCTCTGGAGTAAATCACATAAACTCACCAGGCCCCTACGGACGTATAGACCGACTCGGCTCTACGGCAGCCGGTGGAATAAATTCAGCGCCCTAATCAAATACGGCCCGCCTCCAGCAGATTTATTGAGCAGGCAGCACGCAACAGAAAGAGAATTATAGAGACGAAGGAAGTGGTCAGAGTTAAATTCATTAATGCCGTTTGGCTTGGTTTCAGGGCTTAAGTGTCACTGTGTGTTCCCCATTTAATCTACACGCAGGCCCAACTGTGAGTGAGACGTCAGATGGGACTTCTGTCTAAATAAATGGGCACTGCTTATCCAAACTTTTTTAGGGACACTTTGCCTTGTTTTTACAGTAATGTTTCACGGTATAATTAAACTTAATGATCATTTCGGTAGGTATCGTTGTACAAATATGTTTTTTTTTTTTTCAAATAAAACCATTTTAAATGCTCAAGTAAAGATATTTGTGTACGTTAACAGCGGCGTATTATTCTAGGATGTCACTTCACTTTTTAATAAGTAACATTTTTTACAACCAAAGTAAACCCGAAATATTTTTATTAATACTTTTATTATTTAAACATTTTTATTTAAACAAAACTAAACAATAAAAATACATCAATATTGTTTTGTTATACTAGCCCCGTGGGCCTGGCAAAAAAACGTTGCTAAATTTTGTTTTACATCTGAATTTTTATAAAGCTGAACTTGGTTTCTTATTTGGCAGATTTACTTCGAATTTTCCGTTCCACCTTAAATGGAGCAGCAGTTAGATTCTGGCATAATTGCATAATTCTGCATAATTCAGCTGTTGAGACGTAAACAAAGTAACTCTGTGATTTAAAATGATTCATTGTAGAGAAACTTACAGACTCAGATGTCTTTACAGTGGTGTTGATAGGAACCAGACATCACAATGTCTACAACACTAATATAGACATTTTATTTACTATTCAAAACCACCAGTGAACCAACACGAGTCTTCTGAGTCTATTTGTACAGTTTTAATGATGGTGAAGTAGTCACGAATCTGAAAAAGTCTTCTTTGTGGACTACTTTGTCTCACAGTGTCCTGCATATATCTCTCTTGATTAAAATAAATGGATTAAAATACACTTTAAGCCAAACTTTACCAGAAAACTGTCATACAACCATGTCTCAGACATGTTTGATTCCTTTGACTTTGTTTCCATCTCAACCATTTAATAATGTAGAAATGTAAAAAAAAAAAATCGGTGGAGTTCCCCTTTAAGGTGGATTAGACATTTCAATAAGAAGCCAGCGTCATCAAATTTCTCAAGTTTTTTTGTGTCATATGTGCGCCCCACATACTCACCCCTCCAATCGTCAGACGCTGCTGGACTTCGTAAAAGAATTCAGTATCTGCTGGTCTGTGGCTTCACGCACAAGACGCTGACCATGGCGTCGACAGCAGCATCGTCTCACGTCTCAGCATCTCAGGAATGGAGAGTCAAAACAAGGGGATACAAACGGTGGGATTTGGCAAAATTCCCAAGGTAGCACTGTCACAAATAACTGCACAGCTGACTAAACCTAGATAGTGTCCAGTATTTGTAATATTTTAAAGCTAAGACTTGGGATTTGGAGACCTCTCTGGTGGAAGTGTGTAATTGCACTCAACACGCAGAAGAGTGTGGTGATTGCGACCGTATTGAGAGAGTATTCAGGGCTTAGTAAAGATCCAAGGATGCAAGTCAATTATCTACTGTCATCATATCTTCATCGGTATGTCAATAATGGTGATTTTGCATTTGACACCTAAACATCGAGCTGGACCTGCTTTTTGAGACTGTGTATGACGTTACTCTGCAAAGATGTATGACATGTTCTGAAAAACTCCCGACCCAACGCCTCAGACTTTTACACGATTATTTCAGGCTTTACAGAGCGGCTCTCTCACACTCATGTGCTCCTATGTACTGAAAACAGTTTGCCAGCAAACCTTTCACAGTCACTAATGGACTTTCTTTTCCTCTTGTCCGACAGCCTCGTCTCAGACCGTCTGCTTTCAAGCCGGTCACTCCAAAAAACTTCAGCTCTGTGCAGAATCTTTACCCGTCCAAGTCCGAGGAGCTGGCGAACGGCAGCAAAACAGCATCCAAATCGCTGTCCACATCTTCCTCCTCCTCGTCTCCCTCGCGTGGGGCCACCAGCGCCAATAAGGGCGTCCTGGCCACGCCTCGTGCCCTCAGCCAGGAGGCCGAAGAGACGGCCTCTGATTCGGGACACAACTCCATGAGCAGCCTGCCGCCGTACCGCCCGCCCTACCGGCCGCACCTGGCCCACATCAGCGCCTCCATGGGTCACATCGATCACATCGGCTCGCTGGACCGGGCCTCTCTGGGCTCGGGCGGTGGCAGCGGGCCGGCAGGACGCAGCATGGCCACTCTCGGCCGCCTGCAGGGATACAGCAGTGGCAGTGAGGCTCCGCCCCCTTACGAGCTGTCGCGATCGTTGGAGGAGGTGGTGAGGGAGCTGGAGGAGCGGCTGCAGGAGAAAGAGCATGAGCTGCGGCAGATGAGGAGGAACCTGGATGAGAGCGAGGACGCCATAGCACAGGTCTGATCCGACACTTATTGACACTGTCTAAGCAAAATGTTGTCCAGTAAATGCTGCTTTACAGTGAGTTAGGATGCTGTCGCAGGTCTGCACTGACGCTAAAGTTGACCACAGGCTAGGCCGGGTGATAAATTGGTCACAATAATTAGCAAAACCAAACTTTTTTGCCATGTTGTTGCTGCCATTCTGTTCCTCCACAGTTAGTAGCAGCGGCTTCTTCAAATAGTAAATTACAGTGTAAATTTCATGTGCACTCTGCTACACTTGGTGGCGCTATGTGGTTTTATTAGCTAGACGAAAGAAGAAGGAGAAGAAGTCTAGCCATTCACTTACAACAGAAACCTGTTAGGATTTTAGAAGTTGTGTCGTGTTTGTCTGGCCTTATCAGACTCTTTTAGCATCAGAATGAACTAGATAGCTATTTTCAGTGCTGAGATAATGGAGAGCTTGTACGCTGGTGAAAAATGTTGGTAATGTGGGCAAAACAATCTTCTCCAGTGTGGAATGAGATTGTTCATTGCTCAGATGTCACACATCTATCACTATTTTGACCTAAAATAGGGAACTGTATATAATAATTAGTGATAATTGTCAGTGATGCTGTGTTAATACTGTGATTAGGCCATATGGCCCAGCCTCGGGCAAAAGTCAGTCTGTAAAAATAAACCTGAAATTAAATTTTTTAAGAGATGACAGGCAGTAATGTGGTCACTAACGAAGAACAAAAGGGTTTGACTCTGTGTGCAGTAACTGAGTGTTAATGAGTGAATGATTCTTTTATTATTCAGTTTTATTGCAGCTCTAATCAGATCCTCCTGGTTCCTCCATTCAGGTCCTCCTGAAGGCTTCATCAGCTCAGACGCTTTACATTAGGAGTGTGTAATTAATTCAAAACTGCTCAGAGTTAGAGACTCATATCAGTGAATAGAGTAGAGGAGGCTTTTCCAAAGAGCATGTTAGGGTGGGAGAACAGGGGCCGCATTACAGAAACTTCTTAAGTCTGAAATCTTATCTGTTTAGTCACCACGACAACTTTAGTTAGGACTGAATTTAGGACAGAAGCCAATATGGAACAGTTCTTCAGTTCATAGTCTTATCCTTTAACTCCAGATTAGAAAACAGTATTACAGAAACATCCAAACTGGACTAAATGTACTAAATTCTGTCCCAACTTTAAGAACCCAAAGCTGCCTTAACTTCTGTTTTAACTGTTCGTTTCAATTGTTTTATGCAGTATTTTTAACTTCAGTTTATCACCGTTTAGTTTTATTTGGCCTGTTTTACCTCAGTAACGGTGACGTTAGCTGTCTGGCTAACTAGCTTGATTACGTGTTTACGTTTCAGCTGTGCGCGTATGGTCGGTTGCTAGGAAACAGACACGACAGTTGATTGTCGACTTCGATCGAGTAAGTTAAGATTTCCTAAACTGAGATAAAATAAGATGCTTTAAGATGAGATAAGATTCCTAAATTAAGATAAGATTTGCTTCTGTAATACGGATTAGTGAAAAATCTCATCGTGACCTGTCAGATCTAAACTCCTTGGGACCACCGGTGGTTCCAAAACGCACTTCGTCATATTCTTTTCCTCATAACTTTCATATTTCATAAGCTACATTCAAAAGGTGGGGGTCGTATGAGAGCTGTAACTGTCGTCTTTCCAGTCAAATAGATGGGTGATGTAATTTTAAACCCTTATAATAAAAGAAGCTGAACTCACAATGGTTTTTATCTACTGAAAGTCGACCCATTTTTCCTCAAATCTGGGCTATAAACTACAAAAAGATGGCGTCTCTTCAGTGATCTGCTCTGTACAAATTATTTTATAAAATAATATAAAGAGCATCTAAGGTTTTGGCTTTCAGCAGTAAATAGTAAGCATATAGTAATATGTGTATCATAAAACACATTTACTGTTAATTTAAGGGGAGCTTTTACAAAAAATAAATAAATAAAATAAAAAATTACATTTATTTCATGCAGTTACTGAATAATTCGCCTTACGATTTGGTCACGTAAATTTAGATGGACAAACCAGAATGCACCGTGGAGGTATGAGGTTAAAACAAAAAGATTTCTGGAGGAGCTGCAACACCAGAGGAGCACTCCAGAACAAACTGATCTGCTTAAACTAGATGGAAGTAAACTTGTGTTGATGGTTGGAAAATGTGCTTTTTATAAGTCACTGTTTGGTTCTGTACTGTTGGCCTGTAGTCCTTTTACAATCGAATTAAATTTACTGCAGCTTCTCACAGTCCTGTAAAAGCCTCTCTCGGTGCCACAGTTCTGTTACAGAGAACCACAGGTCTTTTATGGTTTCTCAGTGTCTCTTATCACACATTTTCACAAGCTCTCCGAAATTTCTAAGAAGTCTCTTTATTACAGCTGTTTACTACGTTACAGTGTCTACAAGATCCCAGACTCTGCCTGTTTAAAAGACTTGTAGTGTTCTGTCTTGCTGTATTTTACACTGCTGTAGGTTGATTTAACACTTTAACCCTTAAATTCCCAGGCTTAATACACACTGAGGCATATTATTCAGTAAGTACAGGGACTTCAGTGTAAACTGGCTGAGCTGTTCTTAGGCTATAGAATTGTGTAATGAAACTTTGGGCCCGCTGGCAGGCCCTGACCATGTAAGGGGTTAAAATGAGTTTTAACCTTGTGTGGTCTGGTGGTCCCACCGCATTATTGTTTTTTTTTTTTAGATCAATACAGCCATAAAAATCTATTTATAAATACCAGATGTTTAAAATATCACAAGTGTCCAGCGTAGGGTTCTCCTTTAGCAGCTGTAGCCAGTCAGCAGCCTGTCCATGTTGTCCACCCACACACACACTCACACACACACATATACAAATGCATACACACACACACACACACACACACACACACTAACAGCAGGCCATGTAGGAGGAGAACAGAGTGAAGAACACAGCACCTCCACACTTTTACTCCCCGCAGGTTCACCCAACACCACATGTGTAATATAAATGTGTGGGGGGTGAACAGAGTGAAGACACTGAAAATGGGTTATTTTATATGTTCTTCACAGAAAATGAGCACCAAGAAATCTGAGGTTGAAATAATAATAAATCACATCGTTTTTTTCTTTTGGTAAATATTGAAAATGGGTCCCACAGACCAGAACAACACAGAAGGGTTAAAAGATATAAAATGAGAAATTAAATCTTACATGCTAAAATATAATTCCTGCAGTTAAAAGTTGAATTTTACGATGTTATAATTAAATTTTTCATACATCATTTTTTTCTAGGGTAAACAAAATGTTGTGATTAAGGAACCTTCTTGATTTAAAGCATAATTAACTATTGTTCCTGAGCAGTTTGTAGCTCTGTTTCTGAAATCGTTGATGTTCTTTGTTTTCAGAAGCCAGAGCTTCACTTGGTGGGTCTTTAATAGGTTTATTATTTAGTATTTACTAATATGTAAGGTGTGCAGGTATGAGAGTGAGGAGTTGAAAGGTGGATCCACAAACACATCCACTAAGATCAGAGTTTAAGGGCTTCATCCTGCCAGCTGTGGTTACTACTAATAATAATGTATATTAATAGTAATATAATACAGCTGCAGTTATTGATCATTCAGGTCTCTGTTGTATATTATAAATGTGAAAATTGCCGTTGTCACACATCGCGCTGTAACGTGCTGTCTGTATCTGTGCGTGTGCTGCAGGTGTTTGAGGGGAAGCAGCGTCTGTGGGAGAAGGAGGTGGCCGAGCTGAAGCAGCTGTACGCCACTAAACTGCGGCAGGTTTCCCAGCAGTCTCAGCGCTCTCAGCGCACCCTGCAGCTGCAGCTGTATAAGGCGCAGCAGGAGCGCAGCCGGCTGCAGGACGAGCTCCAGACCCTGCGCCTCGAGTGCCAGAGCCTGCAGGACCGCGGAGCCACCGCAGGCAGCCACGAGCTCCACCCACAGCTGGAGGAGACCCAATGGGAGGTGTGTTCTGAGCTCAGTGGGCGGGGCTTAGGGCTGTACCCCAGGAATACGGCTTACTACTCACTAAAGTGAACTGAACGAATAATAGTAGCTTGCACCTTTGAGCACTGGAGTCCGAGTGATACAGCTAGTAGTGTCGGCCGATATTAATGTCCCACAGTTTTATCGGTATCAGTCAAAGTACTGCAGATATCAAAACAATAATTATTGATTTTGGTTGCAGAATTTAATCTCCCAAAGCTTAGACAGCTGTGCCACTGAGGACCCCAACATCTTTATTATAATCATATTAGAAACAGTAACTTTATTTGTAGAGCACTGTTTATACCAGTGGCAGCTCAGAGATGCTCAGAGACAAGCAGAGATGCTTAGAGAGGTGATAAAGCTGAACAGTAATAGAAGAATTCAGTCAGTTTGGTTTTCTTCTATTATTTTTACTGTTCGGTAAGAGCAATAAAAGAGTAAAAAAACGAGTATTAATTTAAATCAGATCTAAGAAAACATGCTGGAACATAATCAGACAGACATTCTGTGAGGAACATTTAGAGCATTAAAAAACATTAAAGAACATCATCATGGTTTAAAGAAAAACGTGACAAATGTGACACAAAAAACAACTTTTTATGAAGAAAACACAAAATAAGAAAAATGAGGTAATAAACAGAAATCAAAGCTGGGTCGCTCCACTCCTTGGTTATATTATTTAAAATTTTGAATATTTGATGTTTACTTGTTTATTTGTTTAAGAATTGACACTCATATCTGCTAGTAAAGCACTGTTTAATGGAAACTGTGTCGTTTTCCGAAGCCTATCCTGGACTACACAGCATTCTGAATGGAGATTAATTGAAAGGAAAGTGCCTCAGACTAGGCCTGATCCCTGTCTTGTAAGCCGACCTTTAGACGTTTTTTAGCCCCTTATAATCAAGGTATTGGACACATATTGCGAATTAGTCCTGAAAAGACAACCATGAACAACTTTGGCCCTAGAGGTCTGTGCAGGACTGTTTTTTCAGTCCCGCTCCCGCCAGCAACCGAAACGATTTGTCCCTGCTCCTCAGTCTAATCACAAATACATTTGTCTCTGCTGAAATAACACAGCAGTCACGGTCATCAGGCTCACTGTGAAGTAACTTCACCAAACGCCATTTTTATTCTCAGTGAACACAAAGCAGGAATTAAACCACAGAGCCTTTGCGTGAAAATTGGCGTGTTGTTCAGGTGTTCGGTTGCTCGAGAATGACTTTCTCTGTTTTACTGTTATACTGTTTATATATATGATTTAGTGATTGTTCTTCTTTATTCAGGCTGTTCGTTAATTTGCGCAATTTCTCTTCATGCGTGCTTCCGCCCGCTCCCGCCTGAATGGGTCTTATTTCCCGCCTGCTCCCGCGAGCAACACTGAAAATTAGGGAATCCACGGTAGTGCAGACCTCTAATTTGGGCTAAACGTGAACTAGGAACTTGGACTGAGTATGTAATTTCTAAACCAGTCCAACGGCTTATGAGGGCAGAGCTCAAAGTAGGGGTCAGTGGTGGGCTCGTCAACACTGTCTGCTGGACAACAAGCCTGTCGTTAGATGTCCATGGATGTAACAAATGTTAGCAGGACTGTAAAGTCCCCCACAAAAATGAACAAAACAAAACAAAGTGAATAAAATGATGGTCAGAGAAAGAGTGAAACTGTGATTTTTTGTCGAATTATTCCTTCTAGCTAATCCATCTTGTCTAACATTGTCCCTGCTGTGTCCCCATGTGTCCCCGCAGGTGTGTCAGAAGACGGGGGAGATTTCCCTGCTGAAGCAGCAGCTGAGGGACTCCCAGGCTGAGGTGACGCAGAAGCTGAGTGAGATTTTCCTGCTGAAGACTCAGCTGAGGGAGACTCGAGGCGAGGTGAGGGCAAGAGACAGCCAGATCGACCTGCTGCAGCTGGCCCTGCAGACCGAACGCCGCAAAGGCGCCACGCACGAGGACGGCCAGGCTCAGGAGAGCCGAGCGGCATCCGGAGCCACGGAGGAGCGCCTGAGGGCGGAGCTGCTGCTGGAGCGACGGCAGAGCGAATCCCAGGCCTCGGCCTTCGAGGCAGAGCGCAACACCTGGCAGCTGGAGAAGGAGAAGGTGATTCGCTACCAGAGGGAGCTGCAGGCCAGCTACCTGGAGATGTACCGCAGGAACGAGAGCCTGGAGAGAGAACTGAGGCTGCTCAGAGGGGGCGGGGCCGGAGCGGGTCGGGGTGGGGATGGAGGCGGCGCTTCAGAGGAGGAAGAGAGACCGCCTTCCGGGCTTCCCTGGATCGAAAGGATCGAGTCCTCTGAAATCTGAGTGTCTGTATAGAGTCCAGAAGAAAAGTGACGCGTTTGATTGGCTTCAAATGTGTTTCTACATACATAAAATACCACATCAGCACAGTTTGCATTACTTTTCACTGTGGAGAGCACAGTTTGGTGATTTCCCTGTTTTAAGTGCACCTGAACACTCAATTCCGATTTAAGCTGCGTGTTCACAAAGCCATTTGGCACGATGGCGCAGTGGGTAGCACTGTAGCCTCACAGCAAGAAGGGTCTGGGTTCGATTCCCCTGCCGGGCGACCAGGGTCCTTTCTGTGTGGAGTGCATGTTCTCCCTGTGTCTGCGTGGGTTTCCTCCCATGGTCCAAAGACATGTTAAATTGCCCCTAGGTGAGAGTGTGAATGTATATGTCTGCCCTGTGATGGTCTGGTGACCAGTCCAGTTCCCCAGGTGACCCAGAAGCGTAAGCGGCTGAGAAGGTGTGTGTGTTGTTCTCACAATACTGCCTTCATCTCCAGAGAAAATGAAAGGGAGGCTAAAATAAAAAATGGTTCTACCCACTGTAGTGAAAGAGCAGTGTCAGTTTATTATAGACACTGTTTTACCATCATTTTGATCTTTCATTCAAAGTATTAACAACAATCTGACTTTCATTTGTAAAAAAAAGGCCTAAATCAATCATTAAATGAATATTTTTCTCAAACCTGTTATTATTAGCATTGTTTATGAAGGGCACTGCAGCCGGGAACTCACCAAAACTGTGCTGGCTCCCTTCAGGACCAGAAGTGGACACCCCAGTGTTTATAGTAATCTAACCCACCGACTCCAGATGAGCGAGCTGATGCTGAAAGACGATGGCGGCGCTCAAGCTGAGACGTTTGCTCAGAGTGTCACACTTCTTGAGACATTTCTATTTAAGAGAATATACTGTGTTTCGTCTTATCTCGTAAACCAAAACGCGTAAGACACCTGAGAGATTATTCCAGACGGATTCAAAGGGATGTTATTTTCATTAAAGGGATTTAGTCCTGATGGATTTTTCTAAGGCTCCACTCCGTTTGAACAGACCTGTTAGAAAACTGTTTTGTCACATTTCTGTTAAACTGATCTCGATGATGTAGAGTTGCAGTAATACTCACTTCAGTGGGAGGAGAAAATGAAATCTGCAGGCTTTCACAGCAGCATCCCTGCACTGTGGGCTGCTTACTGTCATTCGTATCCTGTTCTAAGGATTGTTTCATGGCTGTTGGAGGTTGATCTAAAACAGATACTGTATAATATCACACTCATTTAATCACTCTCCGTATGCAGAGGCAGTGAGGTGAGGCATAAGAAGTGAGGATGTCCTTCAGTCTGCGTTCCAGGCATGTTGCACTTTAAAGAAACTGGAAATCATCAGTCTTTCACATTGGAGGAGGAGAAAAAGGAGGATGCGCCTCCTTTTCAGCTCCTCTGTGCTTTTCTACTGAGCCGTCCCTTAAAGGGGTACTTCACCCAAAATGATTGGAACACTTCATTTGTATATTTAAAGAAATGGTTTGGTGGGAAAACAAGTGTTTTCCACTCACCCCAGATGTGGCCGATCAGCCAAGACAGGCCTTGCCTCTGTAGTCTAGAGCTGGATCTACAAGGTTAACATGGCCAACAAACACTAGAAGCCAATAGTCACCCAGATCTTTTCTGTAAATGCATTAAGGTCGTGCAGACTTGTCGATGTGGTCAGTGTGACTTACTGAGAGCTGTAAAGATGATCAGAACTTCACCATATAGCTGAATGCTGTGTATTTCAAACAGCAGGTGTTGTGTCGGGATTCTTTCCTCACACAATCCGACCCCACTTCGCGTCCACACACATCACACAGGCATATGGATGCTAAACGACTTTCACAGTTTCTGTTGTTTTTAATTATAAACGTACATCTTCTGTTGAAAGTTTCAGATTAAACAGTTATAAGAATAAACGGCAGAACTCATTTTGGACGTGTGTGCACAGAAAATATTTGGGTGACTATTGGCTTCTAGTGTTGGGTAGCATCATTAGCTTTGTAGCCCCAGTTCTAAACTAAAGAAAGAGAAATATGGACACCAAAAATGACACATCTGGACTGAGTGGAAAATTGTTCAGATTAATTAATTGTTTAAAAGAAACACATCGCTGTTTGGCGGAAATCTCCATTTTTGTTTTTCAGTTTTTGACATAATTTGAAAATGCCTGTTGTTCTTTACATTGTGTGTAAATTTCATGATGAATGGACCAAAAGAAACGACCCAGAATTATTTGGAGAAAATTCTGGTTCCATTGACTTACATTAAAAGTAAAGTAGGTTTTTTCCTTCTCCTGTAAAGTCACCATTTTGGAGATAAGAGGTTTTGTTCCGACATCAGCGTCATACTAATAAACATTGGTTTATGATATAAATGTGCCTGAGTTTAGCTTAATTTACCAAATTTAGCTTCATTTTCATCTGTTCCTTTAGGCACATTGTCATTTAAAACTATTAATAAGGATCAACCAGACTAGATTTCATTATTAGCCATATTAGCATTTTGGCTGAAGTACCCCTTTAATGCAGTGGTTCTCAGTCTCAGTCCTGCACATCTCATGGATTGAAGTGTCAGTGCCAGATCAGGGAACATAAACAGACGTGCAGCTGGCAGGGATGAGTGTGATCATTCAGTCATGATGTGTAGTTTGGAATAAAGAGGGAAATAAACAGGCGTTATCTTCTGGTTTTTGACTGACGTGATGTTGAGCCGATGAAACACAAGCAGCTGATCTAGACCTCTGAGCTCTGTGGTCGACGTCATGCCCATATTAGGAACTCTTGGTCTAAGCGTTTTTTTCTCTATGGGAAAAATTTGAATTGGGTTTTCTGAAATCACCCGTCACACCCTGCGGTAAACACTGTTCATACATACATTTTTCCTCCAGGTGTCACTGGATCCTCTGAGTTATATCGTTTAGCAATCGTTTAACACATGCTACACTCTGAAAAAGATGGTTCTTCAAGGGTTCTTTAGTAAAGAAAATGGTTCTATATAGAACCATGAACACTCAAAGAACTCTTTGCATGATAAAATGGTTCTTTGCATGGTGCAGATTGATGGAGAATGTGCTGTAGATGGTTCTATATAGAACCTTTTGGCACCAAAAAGGGTTCTTCTGCTGTTACACTGTCAAGCTTGTAGCAATAGAAGAACCTTTTTTGGTTCTATACAGAACCATATGCAACAAAGTCTCCATCGATCTGAAGAACTTTTTTCATGATGCAAAGAACCTTTAATCATGCAGAGCATTCTTTGAGTGGTCATGGTACTGTACAGAACCATTTTCTTTACTAAAGAACCCTTGAGGAACCATGTTTTTAAGAGTGTACAACTGCAAGCAAGCTAACGCTCTTCATGAAAGTAGGTATACGATTAAACTTCAACACTATTATATAATAACACCAGCTCTTCAGGCTGTAGCCTAAAACTGCCAAAGACACTTAACTAGCCAATGTGAAAGCGCTTGGTGGTTTGCGTGGGTTATTTTGTCAGAGTCATTTCAATGATGTCAGTTCAATGTATGGCAGTATTGCTTACATCATAGCAACATTGGTATTCTGACTCTTTAAGGACCACAAAATTCAGAGGATCTGGTGGGAATACATACAAATGGGTGCTGGAATATGTTGTGTACCACAGGGCTCTGTAGTTGCTATTTTTGAGCATGCTAATCATTTTTCCCATTAGTAGCTTAGGCTGCGTTCACATTACCAAGTTAAAGTGGCACAAATCGGATTTTTGCCCTAATGTGACTCAGATCTGATGTTTTCAGGGCTGTGTGGACACACAAATCTGATCTTTTCAAGTCCGACCTGAGCCACTTTCATATGTGGTCCTAGATTGGATACGTATCCGATTCGTGGCCATGCAACCTCAGAGCAGAATTCATGTGCTTTTTTTCCACTGCGCGTGCGCCATCATTCAGCGTTACCATGGCAGCAGCGCCGAACAGAAGTTAAAGCCTGTGAACGGTGAAAAAAGCAGCTCATCTCACCTTTTTCTCCTTCGTCTCGCTCTAATAATGAAGCTGAGAGCTGATCAGAGTTAATGATCTTCAGCGAAGCTCGTTCTGCTCGTTAGTCTGTTTGATGATGATGAACGTGATTCATTCACGTGACGTTACTGAGTAGGATGTGATCATGAGGGTCATTTCAGGACGCCAGTTCGTTCACATTAACGACAGAATTGAATCACTTACCTAAACAAGTGTGAACCATCGAGTCAGAGAGATCGGATTTGAGCAATGAGGCTTGTAATGTGAACGTAGCCTTAGACTCAGAGTTCCTAATATGAGCAAGGTCTCAATTGCAGAATGCTGACACAAGAGGTCTGATGTGCCTCACGCTAAGTCAGACATGTCCAACTGGGGACCTTCCAGGCCAAAGTGCTGCAGAGATCCACGTTTACCCTCATCTAACGCTCTGAATTCAGTTCATAGGCCTTGCTAATTAGCTGATGAGTTGAATCAGGTGTGTTTAATGAGGCAGTGAGCTGAAGTCTGCTGTGTTTTGGCCCGCAAGGACTGGAGCCTGACAAGTGAAGTAGCTTCATCTAGGCGAAGGTTTATATGGAACTATTACAAACAAAAGACATTAAATATGTCCAGTGTGTAGATCATGGTTAATATGCTTATTCCTAGTAGCTGAGACTGAGACTGAGAACTACTGCCACAGTATATATCATTTCACCATGTGAAGTGGACTATCATGGTGTCGCCACGGGTCACACTTATGTACAGAACTGCTGAAAAACGCTCGTCAGGAAGAACAGATCTAGTTCCCGTGTTTCTGGATGTAGATAAGCGAATAGTGCTGTGATATGTTAACTACTGGAGTCGATTATGGATTTATCTGTTGACTGTATGTGTATATACTTCTGTATACAGCTGTCAAGTGGTGCACATGACCTTGGCAGACGACTCTGAAATTGCCTGACTGATTATCTTTTTTCTTATGTAATAAAGTTAAATATTTGTCTTCTGACTGGTTCCCTTTGTTTCTTTGCTGACTGTTAATCATTAAGTAACGTAAAAAAAAAGGTGTTTGGAAAATGACTGGATTCTTTAAACCTCACTTGATGTACAGTCAATTTACAGGACAATTTATATGCAATCACATACAGTACTGTGCAAAAGTCAGACACTTTCCAAAACTGAAGTTCAAAAAATTACTAAAAGACAGAGAGAAAACGGCACCCGCCACCAAAACTGCCCCCATCAGATAAACAGCACTCAAAGCTTTCATCTCTGAGAGAGAGGAGAAAATCAAGCTGCTTCAGATCTGAAAACATCCACAGGTGTTTCTGTCCATCCTTCCACTGTGAGAAGACGACTCAGTGCTGTGGGTCTGAAAGGATGTGTAGCTGTGAAGAAGAACCTCACTGAGAAAAGGAGACGGACACACCTAACAAAGAGGCTGAACAATGGACTGACCACCCCAGAGTCCAGACCTCAACACCACTGAATGGGTTTGATTACTTGGATTCTGAGATGCTAAAAATGCTAAACCAACTTCTAAGACTGAACTTTGGAGGTGTGTCTCCTGAAAAGAATGGAAGCTGTAATAAAGGTAAAGAGTGGAAATATTATGTTATTAGCTTTCTTTTCAATATGTTTCCTGTTTTTTTTTTTCCATGACACTGAATGAAAACTGTTTTGACTAAAAAGTAAATAAATGAGGGCTGGTTTCTGACTTTTGCACAGCACTGTAGTTACATAATGCGTTATATGTCAACAAATGGCAAAAATGTTTTTTCTTTCCTGTACACATGACTATTTAAACAATTCAAATAATAAAATATCTTCTCTTTAATTTACAAACACATTGTGGTATAGAATCTGAGCTTTCCACAGAATTTCTGCAGTGAGACAGTGAAACACAATGTTCGAATGAGTTCAGTGACTGATCTAGTTTAATTCCGATTTTCAGAGGAGGAACTGGGCTAGTTCAGCTCCACTCACCCACAGAGCCAGCACACCTGCACATTAGCTTAAGGTTCTCGGAAGAATTTTGTCCTTGACTGATCAAGAAAGGCCGTTTGTCCGGAGGACAATGAAAGCTCTTATTCGGTCTTTAGGTGGAGGCTTCTCTGCTTCTCTGCTGTGCAGTTCCGGCTCTAAGCTGACCGCTGGCTTTAAGAAAAGCTCCAAGACCACTCAGCTCACCGCGTCCCTGCAGGAGCTGGATGGGTGTGTTACACAGGGACCCCTCGGAAGAAATTAACTAGCCCCAGTGTGTTCATCAGCGTAGAACCCTCAGGGCCTTCTAGGCCTTCAGGGACGGTCTAATAATTACCAGAAACACAGGTCTGTAATTTTTAGTTCGGTTTTATTTGACAGAATCATCATGCTTGATGTATTTAGACTCGGAAAGTACTGAAGTAATACTCTAATTTCATGGTAAAGTTTGGTTGAAAATTAAATCATTGGAACACGCAAAGGGAAATCAGGACCTTTACCAGAGGTATCTGGGTAGATACAGCCAAGAGAAGTCTCCCATTGGTTAGGACTTCAGCAGGTGGAGTTCTAGGCTGTATGTGAAATAGCCTATTACATAGTAGCAGAGCCGGTTTATGAGGAGCCTGGCCACTTCCTATTTCCCCTATTATATCAAAAACAGGACTGCAAAACAGCAGAGGGCGCCCGTAAGCGAGTCCTCAATGAATGGGGGTGAAAGGAGCTCAATGGCTAAAAACAAAAAGTTAAAATAGTTTCTAATCACTCGCTCAGAACGTTTCTTTCATTTTAGAAAGCAGAAGGATGTGTTTCACTAAAAAAAGCAAAGAAAACTAACATGTATTTTTCCTTTTTTCTACAGCAAACAGGTTTTGGGCAGCAGGATGTTAACATTACTGCTATTGGGTGCTGACTGGTTGGCGAGCGGAGCAGCTCATTGGCTGTTCGCGCTCACAGACGTCATGAATGTACATGAGGTGCCGTTTTAAACTCCTATAACTCGAGTTTAAAAGCTCTTAAAAATATAACAGCGGTGTTAAAATGTTTTATGCTGTTCTGTGTTCAGGAAATTATTTTATTCTTTTACATTAACAATGTTTAAGTATTTATAAACTATGATTTAGCTCAAACACATTTTATTCCTTCCTTTTTCGGACTCGCTCGGGAGCGCCCTCTAGCGTTTGAGAAACCTGGAAGACATTCCAGAGTGGTAAGTTCTCTAGTACTCTCATACTGATT